CGAGGAAGGCGTTGAGCGCCTCGCGGGAGTTGATGATGAGGACGGTGTCGTGGATGTCCGCGCCGATCATGAAGCCGGCGCCGACGGCGTGAACCTGGATGCCCGAGGGCGGGCCCCAGGAGCCGTCGGGCAGGCGGGCGATGAGGACGCCGGAGCCGGTGGCGCCGGAGAACTGGAAGCCGGCGCGGAAGGTGGTGAAGATGGCGAGGCCGACGGCCTTGTTGATGACCTTGCTCGGGATCTTGACGATGGCCTTTTGGTCCTTCTTGGCCTTGTTTGGGGTGACGGGGCGCGAGGAGCCGCCGGCGGCGTCGGTCTTGCCGGGCTCAAGCTTCTCGGAGGCCTGCTGGGGCGGGACGTCGGATGCGATGCCCTCCTCTACGGTGCTGATGTTAGCCATGCTCTGGTCTGACGGGGGATGGAGGGGGGGACGTACTGCAGAAGCTCTGCAGGATCTTGGCGGCCTTTTCGCACTCCTTGTCCATGGTGGTGGGCAGGAAGCTCTGGGAGCCCATCTTGTTGGCCATGGCGTTGATGGGGCCGGCGGCCTTCATGCCGATCTGGGTCAGGCGCTCGCCCCATCCCTTGTGCTGCTTCTGGGGCTTGGTGGTGTCGGGGGCGGTCGCGGCGAAGGCGGCGGCGGCCTGGGAGGCGGCGGGGTCGGTGTGGTCGGCGCCGGGGGGCGTGTAGTGGTGGCCGGCGCCGCCGTACTGAGCCTGGGCCGGGTTGTAGTCGGCCTGGTGCTGGGCCGGGGGAGGGGCGTACTGCTGGGTCGGGGCGGCGCCGTATTGCGGCTGCTGCTGGGTTTGGGGCGCGTGGGTGTACTGCGGCTGGTTCGCGGGGGGAGGGCCGGGAGGCGGCGGGGGGAAGTACGGCTGCTGGCCCTGCTGGCCGGCGGGCAGCTCGGTCTTTTGGTCGGTGGGAGGGGGAGGGAAGGTCTGTTGGTGGTGCTCGCCCGTGGGAACGGGGGGCTTCTCGTTGTGGGAGGGGCCTGACCACGACATGATTCAGGACGTGCGAGGTGTCGTGCTTATGTGGACTTTGGGTATCAGGTGTCGAAGAGGGAGAGCAAACGAGAAGGTGATGCGAGGTAGGAGAGAGGGAGGTGGGGTTGGGTTGGGTATCGTCTGATGATGGATGAGGCTGGTGATGGCAGGAGGGGAAGCAGCTGCTATGGAGGTGATGGCAACTGTTTTTGTATGTTTTGGAGATGGCTAGATGGACCCTGTTTTTTTTGGATTCTGGATCTTCGGGGTCGCCAGATGAAGCTTGTTGAGGGTTTGGTGTGGCGCAGAAGTGTCGTCAACGTGGATATCGCGGCCCTGTGAGGCTTAGATGGAGCTTCTTTTGGACGCGAGAGAGACGGAGAGTCAGAGAAGAGGCCTCTTGTTTGTGAGAAGAGGCGTCAGTTTCCACGTATTAGCTGGTGGTAGGTACCAAGAGCTGCCGTGACAGCTCACCATCACGGCACAGAGTGGCACAGAGAGGGGAAGGCGTGGAGGGGCACAATTAAACGTCATAGTGTGGCTGATGGGAATAGCGGGGCACATGGGGCATTAGCGTGTGGCTGAGCCGGGCTTGGAGAGCACGCGATTCGTTTGTTGTGGCCTCGCGGAGGGAATTAGTGGGTGTCGACAGTGTCCAATGTGTTCATCCCTGCTCGCCTAAGTTCCTGCTCTTGCTGAAGGGCCTCCCCGCGGCCGCCGACGAATGCCGCTGCTGCTGGTGATGCTGCTGCTGCTTCGGGGTGAGCGGTGCGGGTGCGGATACATATTGCTACACCCGCCGCCTGTTTTGAACGTTTTGCTTCACGAGAGAGTGTTCTGAGTTCTGGCCTGCATCTTCCCATGCGGGTGGAAGAACTATCGAAGGTTGTGGAAGCTTCATTCCCGAGGTGACACCTGGTTAGGCGCGAGTCAATTGCTGCATCGAGACTGAGTTCCCGTTGCTGGACAGAGTTCAATGTGAAGCTTCTGAAGCTTCTCGCTTGACCCAGCCGAACGTGTGAGAGTGGGCAGATGAGTTTGTTTCGATACAGTTGATACAGTCTCGCTTCTCACGCGATGCATCACTTGCAGCATGAGATGAGATGACGGGCGTTTTTCTGCCTGCGTAGAGGTTCTGTCCTCTTATCAAGGTTCCAGAACGCGGGTGACGTTGGAGAAGCAGCAGCAGCAGCAGCAGCAGCAGCAGCAAAAATGGCAAATTGGGCAAATCGGCTTTCGGTTTCGGACCGACGCTGCTACTGTAAAGAATTCGGGGAGTTGCTTTCTTTCTTTTCTTTTCTCTGCGCAGCGGGCGGCGCGGGCGTGCATTGCATGTGCTTGCTGCTCGCTTGCTTGCTCACCCCTTCCATCGGACATTCTCCCAGCCCAGGTCCGTCCGCCCGTCCGGCCGCGCGCATCCCCAAGACAGACAGACGGGTAAGCCCGCCGGACCTCTGTTTTGATTTATCTGTTCTTAGATTTCTTGCATGTCTGGAATTAATTCATACATGTGTTTGACTGTTTCCCGAGTCTGATAAGGAACGGCGACTAATCAGGAAGACGAGTCGTCGTCGTCGCAGCAGGCGCACTCAAAATCGGCCATTCGCAGGGTGCTACCTCGCGCCGAACCTCCGAACGGCCAGCCATTCCCCGGTTCAGTCACGGTGAGAGCGCAACCCGATTACCGCTTCTGGCCAATCCCGTCCAACCACAAGCTTTCCCGGTTGGGGCCATTTGCCTTTCGTCTTATGTCGACCGGTATTCAATCTCTTTAGCGTTCGAGAAGGGGCCTTAAGGCCTTTCTATATGATCCACGACAAGTGTCTGATGTCTGATGTTCGGTGCCACTGTCCGCTGCGACCAGCCCGCTGGGTCCAGACAAGCTTTTGTGATGCTGCAAAGCTGCGTTTGAGACACAGGCTGGACGAACATGCCTCGGCTTTCGATGGAGTTGCCAGTTTGAGGGGGATAGTTGCGAACCGAGGGAAGGGAGCAGGAGAATCTGAAGGTTTGGATTCTTGGTCATCATGACAGCAATTGTGTCTCGCCTTTCATCCGGTCGGCCCCCAAAATCTTGATTCTCTTATTTAGACAGCAGCGGCATCCGGGTTCCGAAGTCCTGACGCTCGCCGTTTCTCGTATCTTTAAATCTGACCGCACACCCGCTTGCTCTTGCGCGCGCGCCCGGCCTTTCCCCAAGTCTGACAGCACAAGCGGTTTGCGATTGATTTGCGCCGCCCATAGAACGATAAATAAAGAAGACGAGACGACTTGCGAGAGCAACAAGCACAGCAAGACAAGCCCGACGCCGAACAGACCAGGCTGCAAAAGGACAAGCCCGGTTGTCAATCTCACTTCGGGGAAGAAAGAGAGAGATCTACGCCCATTGATAATCACGTCTATTGGAGCTAGACCACCGAACGACAGGCAGCCAGACAGCCCTCTTCGGCGATCGAAAGCAGGACGAACCTCACAACGAGGCACCACCGTTCGGAGCTCCGGCCGGTGAAGCGTCGACGCACCGGACATTGACGCGACCTGAATCCATCGCCCCGCAATTTTAGAGCGACCTGGGCGCCTGTCCCTGCGCAAAAAAAACCGCCTTTTGGCTTTTTTTCCTGCTGCTCACTTGTTGAGGAAGAGTGTCGATCTGCTTATCCGTACCATCGTCCTCCGTGTGTTGCGTCTTATCCCAGACGTTGAACGAGCGCAGACGGCTTCCGAACCGGCCACTTTCTTTCCCTTCCTTTCCCCCTTTTTCTACACACCTATTACCCTCGTGCATAACCTCGCTCACTCTTTTCTCTCTTCTCCCTCCCTCTCTTCCTCTCTTCCTCACTCAGTCTCAGAGACAAAGATACCCCAAACGAAACATCCTCTCGGTCCCGAGTTGACACCCGCGCTTCTGCCCACGAACCCCAGCAGAACCATCAACTTACACCCACGCACCCCAACCACTCTCCTCGGCCCCCCTCCCCCTCTCCCCCCGGGGACCCCATCAACAAACAACCTCAACTCCCTCACTCACACAAACCCCGGTCTCGCGCTCCCCAACAATGCCAAGCGCAACGACCCCGCCCGGCTCCGGCCCGGACACCACCCTCCACCTCCCGCGCATCCTCTGCCTCCACGGCGGCGGCGTCAACGCCGCCGTCTTCAAGGTCCAGTGCCGCGCCCTCATCGCGCGCCTGCGCCCGCACTTCCGCCTCGTCTTCGCCGAGGGCCCCTTCATCTGCGCCCCGCACCACGACATCGTCTCCGTCTACGGCGACTACGGGCCCTTCCGCCGCTGGCTGCGCTGGCTGCCCGAGCACCAGCCCGTCGTCGACGCCGAGACCGCCTCCGCCGAGATCCACTTCCAGCTGCGCATGGCCATGGACGACGACGACGCGCTCGGCGCGACCGGCAAGTGGGTCGGCCTGCTGGGCTTCTCGCAGGGCGCCAAAATCAGCGCGAGCCTGATGTACACGCAGCAGATGCTGCGCCAGAAGTACGGCCGCCGCATCGCGAGCGCGGGCGGCAGCGCGGACTGGAAGTTTGGCGTGCTGCTCGCGGGGCGCGCGCCGCTGATCGTGCTGGACGACAGGATAGACGCGCCGCAGGGCGTGGGGGACGCGGCGGAGGCGAGCGTGGTGTTTGACGACTGGCCGAACGGGAGCGGGACGGACCATGTGTTGCGGCTGCCCACGATCCATGTGCATGGGCTGAAGGATCCCGGGCTGGAGCAGCACAGGCGGCTGCTGAAGGAGTACTGCGAGCCGGGGTCGACGCGGTTGGTGGAGTGGGAGGGGAACCACCGGGTGGTCATCAAGACGGTTGATGTCGATGCTGTCGCGAGGCAGGTTCTGGAGCTGGGCGCGGAGTTGGGGCTTGTGAGGGATGTCGAGGCATGATTGATAACTGCATAGCGTTTGTTTATTTTCTGGGGGCATTTTCACTATTTTGGGATGTATTTATTTTGTTGCGTCTGGATATACATAGACCGGAAATACCACGTCGTCGCTTTGTTTTTCTTCATGTCGTGTACACTCCCGTCGGCACATCGTGATACCCCCTCTTGCCGACCACATGCGTCAGCTCGCTCCTCCAGTCCTCGCCGCGCGCAAGCCTCTCGACGACCTTTTCAAACGTCCACTTGGGCCTCCACCCGAGCTCGCGCACCGCTCTGGCCGAGTCGTACACGCGGTCGACGCGGTCCGGGAACCTCCATCCGAGCTTCTCAAACACGGCGCCCGCCGCGGGGACGCACCCTCTATACACGCCTTCCGCATCCGAACCGGCATTCAGCCGCGCGAGGGTGTCTGCATCATTAGCAAACGGCGGCGGCGCCGAGACGATGTACTTTCCAAACCCGATCTCGCGGGCGCGGCGCACGGCGCAGACGACGGCGGAGACGGCGTCGGCGATGTCGAGGCGGCGGTGCGCGAGCTCGCAGACCTTGAGGTTCGCGTCGGCGGGGAACTCGGCGCGGCGGGCGGGGTCGTCGTCGGCCTCGGGGAAGAAGCGCGACGTGCGCAGGACGAGGCAGGGCAGGGCGGTGTGCAGGTGGTGCAGGCGGACGAGGTCCTCGGCGGCGGTCTTGGTGGCGCCGTAGATGTTTTTGGGGACGGGCGGGGTGGGTTCGGTGATCCAGGCGGCGGGGGAGCCGGGGGCCGGGGCGAGGGCGGAGCCGTAGGTTGAGGTTGTGGAGATGAAGATGAAGGACTCGAGGGATGGGAGGTGGGCGGAGGAGGTTTCGAGGAGGGCGAGGGTGCCGGTGATGTTTGTGTCGATGAAGGCTTGTTTTGGGTGCGAGGCGACGTGGGGCTTGTGCAGGGTTGCAGCGTGGATTATGTGTTTGATGGAGGGGTGGGAGGTAAAGACGGATGTGAGGGCGGCGCGGTCTGTGATTGAGAGGGTGCGGGTTGTGGTTGAGGAGGGGAGGATGTCGATGCCGAAGGGGGTATGGCCGTGGGAAGGGAGAGAGAGCATCAGGGCGGCGCCGAGGTGGCCTGAGGAGCCTGTGACGAGGATGTCATACTCTGGAGAAGACATCGTAGTGATTTGATGACTGGCTGTAGAAGCTGATGTGTTGAAGGAGTCGCTTTGAAGAAGTTGACTTGAAGTAGTTGAGGTTTGATGATGGTTAGTCATGGTGTTGAGACGTGACTCATTGGTCTGCCGCGCCAAGGGGAGAATGCCATCGATAGGGCGCGAGTAGCCGCAGATAGCTTGTACCCCATTCGTCTTTGAATTCATTAGCGTCGAAGTGAAGATTCGCAGCATTCTTTCCGAATTTCTCCAGTTGTTTCTCCATGTCTTTCGCCACTTCGAAATCGTCATGGGTTGCTCGTTCCTACAAACACAACTAGTACAGCGGCATAAGCTGCCGTGCTAGCCAGTACATCTTTGGCCTCGTCGAGAAAGTAAGCCATCAGTATACCAAAGGCAGTAACAAAAGCTGTCGTTGAGATGAGCGATGCATAGAGCCCGTTTTTCAACACCATAATCCACATGGGTCCAACGAGAAAGGCGCCTCCAGCTGCTGCAATCACAATACGCTCTTTGAAACCACGATACCATGTCTTCGCGACATTGCTTCCACGCGTGCCAGTGATTGGGTCGTTGGCACCGGCGGGGCGAACGTCCCACGGTCTCAGGGAGTCAACACGCTTTGTTATGTCTTTGGCCAGGGCACTATCAATGTTGCAGTTGAGAACGTAGTTATCCACGCCGTACTCTCCTGTGGCGAGGAAGGGGTCCCGAATAGACTTGGAGCGGCTCTCCATATAGTCATGGTCCTGCAGCGCTTTTACTGTGATGGACCAAACAAGTCAGTGTCTTCTATCAACATCCAATGGAAACAAGAGACGTTTGTTTCATGGTCTCAAGTATACAGAGGTATTTGGGGCGTAAGGGGAAAGGACTGCCTACTGTACTGCTCAAGTGTCTGCTCCCAGCCTGGCGACTCGCTCCCGTTAAGACGCATTTTGACAACGTGTCTTACCAGCTGGGACTGAAGCTTACGGATTCGCATCCGCTGCACCTCAGCAAAGCTGATCCGAAATCGCATTCCATCACCGGATGCTGATGTGGAACTGGTAGACATCGGCGTCGATCCCAATTTTCTGCCGTACTGTATCTCCCGGATCTTTGTGCTCAAATAGTTGAGTTTAGAAGCAATGAAACTGGTGTCGGGCTCGTCCAGCCTTGCAATCAAATTTGGAAGGTGATGGTTTACAGCCCAATCGCCTGGGTCGTCGCGATCGAGATGCATCGTGTGTCGGTCATTTCTGGGCAACGGCGTCTGATCACTCTCCGTGACCCTATGCCCTGTTAGATCATGCACGCTCTCTCCGCTGCGCCGACGGCCAGCCGTTGTGCTGTCGAAACTACGGCGTCTTTCTAACCGACTGTCGAACGAGGACCTGACATGCTGAGATGAAATGCTGGAGTTGTACTCCCGATCACGACTGGCGGAGCGATCTCGCCGGACAGATCGGATGCTATTAGGCCGGCTGTGGTTGTTATACACACTACCAGGGGACTCGCGCCGGAAATCGCCCGAGTAACTGCGCTTGCGGGAGCGAGAGCTGGCTGTCTCGTCGCCATGGTCTGTTGTGGATAGATCAGTAACAATAATTATGTACACGAGAAGCTAAGCTGCCTACCAGCCTCGGCGATTGAAGTGCGACAGCCCTCCTTCTCGACGTCATGATACACAGACATATGTGGCAGGGTTATATCAGACGGCCTAAGTACAGAAACGAGTATTTAATAAGCCGTGAAAGTCGGTCGTGAAAGATGGCTGCTTATTCAGACAGCACTGGCCGGCGAGGCATGTCTTTTGGTTCCTCTTGCTCCCCGGCAATAGGGCAAGAAAAAGCTGTCCTCATCTTCAGCTCTAGCTCACAGCTAGCCTTATCAGGTGATTTATCGCCAGTGATTATATGCTGCAGAATGGAGAAATGCGTGGCCTATCTGCAGAGTAGCTGCAGTTACAAGGGTTGCAAGTGCTTATGGTGGCTGACAAAGAAATCATGTGCACCAAAGTCCCATATTGCTAGCCGTCTTACCCTGTAGCCTGATTCAAAGTCCCTCATAAAACCCCGAGAGGAGCTCATCGCGAGTCTTTGATAAGATTCCAGCCATTCGTACTATTTCACTGTAATCCTTACATAACATCACACCTACAAACGCTTACCCACAATTTTTGGAATTCTTCCTTGGAGGGACACCAAAAAACATAATACGGTCCCAATCCAAGCCAAGGACACATATAATTTCTATGGCAGCACCTGCCCACAGGTGCCCCAGGTGGCCTATGCAGCCCAAGGCCCCCCAGTACCTTCTTCCAGCCTCCTAGCTAGGCAGCCCACTTAGCTAGATTATTACACATATCACTACCACTTATTTGCCTATACCTCTATAAGTTATAAGCCTAATGCTCAGATCGCTAGTATCTATAGCCTTAAATTAAGTATTTTTCTACTCTTATAATATTCTTCTTGTTTTTTTATAGTTATCTATATGTTTATGCAATCTAATTTAGCTAGTAAATAGTAATATAGCCTCTAATTGCTCTTAATATATTAGACTACTACTATCTATATAAAAATTCACCCTATTAAGTAATATATTAAATAGTAATATTACCTTACTCTCTATAACTTACTTTAATATATTAATTAATAATATCTTCCCCCTCTCTTACCTTCTTATTACTCTACTTATATCCTTCTAAATAACTAGTAATATAAGTAAAAGTATTAAGACCTTCTTATTTAGTATTCCCTAGCTAAAAAGTAAATCTAACTAGTAATTATAGCTAGTTCTTATTAATGCTACTCTGTAATTAAACTAAGTTAAGAAGTATATTAATAAGAATATCCTTAAACTTAATAATAATAATACTACTAAGGAGATATAAGCTAAGGAGCGTAATACTACTTTTATACTACTTATTAGCTTATATAACACTTTTATTAATAAGTTACTTAATATAGGATAGAAGGATAATAGTAATCTCTTTATACTTATATAAATGCTTAAGAAATATATTCCTAAAGTTTCTAAAGATACTATTAGCACTCTTATTAATAAGTTTGCTAAAAGCTCTACTTAAGACTATAAAACTCTTTATAATACCCTTAAGTATATCTAATACCTTTAGACTTATATTACTAACCTTATAAATAACTCTTCTAACTATCTATAAGCTATACTGCTCTTAAACTATTTTAAGACTTAGCTACTAAATACCTATAAGTACTATACTAATAATAATAAGAAGCCTATATAAATTAATATTATTAAGACTATTTATACTTTTACTTAAGATAAAGAATAGAAGATAGGTCTATTACTCTATAAAGATAGATCTTAGCCTTAGTTATTAACCTTATATACCCTTCATACTAATAATAATAGTAATAACCTATTAACTAATAAGTATAAAGCAACCTATATTCACTATAATATAAACTACCTATCTGAGAAATACTAGATAGCTTATCTAGAGCTAATCCTATTAACTTATAAAAACTAAATAAGCTTTCTTAAGAGGGCTAATAAGTATAAGTATAATAAGGATTATTAAAGAGATAGTATTAGCACTACTCTAACTACCTCTATCTTTATAAAAAGTTTATTTAATATTCTTAATAGCTCAGCCTTTATTAGTATTACTATATAAGATTATTATATTACTAGCCTACTAATCTATACTGCTATTAACAGCTATATAATCTGTTAGTATAGGTATAAGCGTATTTAGGGGCGTAGTATATACGCCTATATAGTATAGGGT